AGATGTCCTCTTTTCACCTCTGCCGCTGCTCTTCTGAATATCCATTCTAGCGTCTCTGTAGAGTACTTATGTGATTCTGTTGGATCATAGAACCTTAGGATTTCATCCTTATCCAAGTACACAAACCCAAAAATGAGGTTGTGAATAATGGATTTTGGATGATACCTAAGTATCCAACCAGGCTTGCTGTATGGAGGGGAGATCTTTAGATTTCTTTGGACCAACCTTACTGCGAGCTCGAAGTCCTTCTGGCTGTAATATCTTACTTGTGCGCGCATGACCTCAACCAGCCTTCTGAGCAATATTGAGTAGCTTGACCTCCTCTCCATGTAGATGTTGAGAATTTTGTGCATGTAGATAACATCAAACACACAGAGGTTGTGAAGGTCAGCGTCTGTGAATGTATAAAGGTTGCCATCTTCCCTCCTTACTACATACTGAGCATAGAGCACCGTCTTCTTTAGCATAGTCCTTGGAGAAATTGTCTCTATGGAAGTGATCATGTGCTCTGAGAAGACTTRCTCACGAGGCCTTGTGAGCTTAGAGAACTGGAACTTGGTGGCGGCAGAAGGGATCCCTGTAAGCTCTGGATCATAGGGAGGCTCTGTGTCTGCTGCAGAGTACCTCCACACTTGAATTTCTTCCATAGTAGTAATGGGCTCTGTTCGAAATTTTGGCATTGGAATCTTGCTCATTGATTCGAATATTTCAGAAACCCTTCCTACCATGGCGTACTCTGGCACCTTGGCTTCCTCTTCTTTCAGAATTGGCCTCTGGGTTGACCCCTCTGCAAGGATGGGTTTGACGGTTCATTGCAGAGCGTCAAATGTACCCGTGGACGTCTCTTGGACTTGTGGGAATTGTGATGAAGATTCTTCTCCTGCTCTGTGAGGGATGGGGCCTCTGCCCTTCCTTGTTTGAGCCTCTGCCAGAGATGCCTTTAAAGATTGAAGGAGCGCTGGGTCATCGCTGTATTCCTCTTCATTTACTGCTTGTGGAGTCTTTGTGCTAGTCGACGACCCCTTCTGTGGTGACTCTACAACTTTGCCTTTACCTTTGCCTTTAGGCTCATGTGCCTTTTCCTTGCCTTTAGAGAACAAGGCAGCTGTAGAATCCACAATCTTGATGCCTCTGGCAGAAGTCTTCTTTGGCTCTGGTGCTTTCTTCTCAGTCTTCTTCTCTTCCTCATGACGATCACGATCATCACCTTCTTGATCGTCATGGTTCTTTTTGGCTTCTGCCTTGCATGTGTCCAGGGGAGCCTTCTCCAATCTCCTCAATATTTTGGTGGCCGCCTTCTTCATCTTCTTAATT